CAGCAAAAGCCCAGTCTCGTGTACCAATTTCTGTTCTAGTTTGTATTCTATTGCTGTGGGAAAAAAATACTGACTAGGACCAGCTTAGGGATGATAGGGTTTATTTGGCTAGCATGTTCCAATCACAGCGTGTCACTGCTGCAAGTAAGGAAAGGAACTCAAGACAGGAATCTGGAGTCAGGAACTAAATATGGTGCCACAAAGGAATGCTGATTGCTGGCTTGATCCTCAAGGATCACTCAGCTTGCTTTCTTTTTATACAACCCAGGATCACCTATATAGAGGTGCCCACAGTGGGCAGGGCCCTCCCGCATCCGCCCTCCCACATCAATCATGACTGAAAACAAAATGACCCATATACTTGCCTACAGGCCAATCTGATAATGGCATTTTCTCAATTGAGGGTTCCTTTTCTCAGATCATTTGTGTCCCACTAGCACAACACTCAGATGTATTAACTAAATTGAAGCCTGACAATTGGCTAGAATGCATAGCACCTAGAAGTCACATGTGAATGAAAGGATAAAAGAGTGCAGTCACTTTTCCCTGTTTCCTGTCATATGCTTAACCTGCACAACAATCCTACTTTCAGACATTTATGCAAAGAGTTAAAATCTACACATACAAGAGTCTTACGGTCACATTTATTGATATAATATAAACTGGAATAACTGAAAATGCCCGCCAACCAGCATGAAGGAAAGAAAACAAGCTGTGAAAAATGTACAAATAAAATCTACTCAAGAGCATTGCTATAAACACAGCAAGATGGGTTATCTATTACCAAAACTACAGTAAAACTTGTCTATAGCGACAGGGAAATCCATCAGTGACTTGACTGAGGCTCCACCAGTAGAAGGATGTCTGAAATGGGGCATGAGAAAAATGGGGGGGGGGAATAAATGTTCTGTATTTTAATTAGAATGCTTACTCAAATGCATGCCTTTGTCAAGGCTTACAAAACCGCTAACTTAAAATATATTCATTTTACTATGTATGTTCCTCTTCCAGAAAGTTCCCTTGAAAATGTCTAAAAACAAGCCATAGTGTAACCATACAATAAATAGCCTCCCAAAACTCAAATCATTTGAACTACTATACCAGAACATAATCTTACTAATTGCTTTATTTTTTGCTCTATACTAATGAAAATGTAGCTGAAAATAATGTATCATCTTAATACGTTTAATGTAAAAGCATATGTATACCAAGAACTAGAGAATATTTCTTTGTATGTGCATGCGTGTTCATGTGGGTGTGCCGATGCATGTGTGCCCATGGACATGCACATGGGTGTGGAAGCCAGAAAGTAAACTCAGTTGTGCTCAGGAACACCATCTACCTCCTTTAAGATAGCCTTCCGTTGGCCAGATGCTCACTTATTAGAGTAGACCTTCTGGGCAGTGAGCCCCAGGAAATCCTCCTGTCTCCACGCCTGCACTGTTGAGATTACTGTTTTTTTTTTTCAGTACTTATCTGCGGTTGGGGGAGGGGGGATCAAATTCAGTCCATTGTACCTACAAGGTAAGTGTTTTACATTCAAAGTCATCCACACAGAACAATGCAAACCTCTTCGGAGAAGCGCTTCATTTGAACACGAGAAGTTGTGTGTTGATGGCTACCTTATTTAATGACATGAACCCATGTCTGCAGTGCTCCCTGAGTTTCTTTCCTTACCCAGTAGGCTCTAAAATGACAGGATTATTATTGCTCCAAATATAAATTCCCTTTGCAGGTCTCATCACATGTTAGATTAATTTTCTTTCTCTCAGAGTTTTATGCTAAAATACAAATTTTATAATTAAATTTCTTATTATATGCACTTAACAATACTTCACAATAGTGTATTTTCATTGCAATTTGATTATATTGCCTGTGCAGGGATTTTATATTAACCAGAATTCCTAGACTTATGTACTAGAAAATTTATATGCACATACAAGGAGAGTTTTATATATAATATGAGCTAATATGCACGAGTTTGCAAGCAATTTCTTTTCACTTGTCAGCATGAGTCCCCATTTTTATGACTCAGTTTTCATGACCTCTATATATGTATTCTAGTTCTTACTGAATTAACCAAGTCTGCTAATTATTCGAATCTCCAGATCATTGCAGCATTTTATAAGAGGAATGCTATATAATATTTAGGATTGGGATCATTCTGTGGCTCGTGAACCAGTGGGTAGTGCTTCACAGGCTGCATAAGGATCTCAATGTAATTTTGCATTTAAAAATATTCTTTATTCTTCTACTTTAATTTTATATGAGTCCCAGTCGCTATCTTTCCCATAAGAATCCTTCTGTAGTCCAACTTTTAAACTCACCACCCATGCTAGAAGGGTTAGCATGCTAGGCTTTGAAATAATTTTGAACTTATTTTCAATAGAAAGGATTAGGATGAAATGTATTTTTGTGAGCTCATTATTAATAAAGGACGAAGATTGCTCAGTTTGAGACTAGGATAGAGCATGTAGCTGTGACATACCATGTTCAGATGTCTGCCACCAAAAAAAAAAAATGCCTTTCCTTTCTCAGAATATTTGAAATTCAATGTAAATGCAAACAGCAAGTCCAAATACTCAGTCACGGGACCTTTTCTTACCTGTACAATTCTCCCATGACCAGGCTTCTGGTTCCTTCTAGGGGTCTCAGGAGACGTAGTGTTCCCTTACCAATTGGAAAGTGTGTTCGCCTCATTATCTCAGGGACTTTGCCTGGCAAGGAAATATATTCAAAGGTTGTTGCTTCTGTGGCAGTATGCAGCGAGACACTCCCAGAAGGGTAGCAATGACCAGATGGACGAGTGGAACTCAACAATGCCTAGTCATCGTCTTTGGCCTACCCGAGTAGCATTTATAGAAGCAACATGTCTACTTTAAGGCTTGGTGTCCTACCTGGAAAAAGCGAGAAACAACCACCATGCGGAATGCCCATTTCTAGATGGTTTTTCTACAGGGCTGTGAACAAGGCCTGAACAATCTCAGCACACTGTGGTTTCTAAGCATTTGCCCTCTTGGTTAGCAGCTGGAAGCATGGCTTGCTGGGCTTGTTTCCATACAGCAGAAGCCAGCATTTATAACGTTCTCGGATGTGCCGCCCTTCCCACTGGGCCAAACCCTTGTGTGGATTATCTATTAACTTTCACAAAACCCCGATGAAACAGGTGGTGTGGCTGTGCTGAGGAGACGGGGACCTATGTAAGTTGAGCAACTTTTCCAAGTCCATCCACATAGCAAGTGAAGAACTTGAGTCAAAACCAGTCAGACAGGCTCCAGAACTAAGTTCGTCTTTCTTAAGGCTTTCCAGTTGTTGGTGGTGTTTTTCTTAAAGCCATTTATCACTGTGTGAAATTTTCATTTATTTTTGTTTCTGCACCCAGATACACAGTTCTCAACTGCAGAGATATTGCATCTCCATCTAAAAAGCAATGCATGCACGATAGTAGGCATTGAATGAATGATTAGTATCGCTTTCTTGAGTGGAAAATCTGAGGAATAGCTACCAGATCACTCCTAAACGCTGATAATTTTTACATTGAAGGAGTATCCATTTTAGGAAGCAGTTTGTTCAAGCAGAGAAAGCTCTTGAAGCTGCTTAGAGATAGGGCTTTAAAAAAAAAAACAGCTTCTCTTTAAAGACATGGCTGTCCACGGAGGAATGTTGACTATTCGATAATGTAAACGTCCACCCTGAGTGTAAGGCTGATGCAGCTCAGACCCTTTCTGGGAGGAAAATCTTCATGTCACTCATATCCCTTAAAGAAGCCTAAGTCAAGAACAAAGCTAACGCTAATCCCCGAGTGCTTAGAGAGGCTAGGCACAAGCTCGGTTTTGCTTATGAGAATCTCCATGTTATAAGACGACCTCAGATCTTTCTCGGTTCCCATGTCTTTCACCAGCCAGTTGTATCTGATAACGGCACATGAAAGAAAATTTGACAAGGTGTTATACAGAACCACAGACAATCTAGGGTCACCAGAAGCTGCCTGGGGTTTGCCTGGGAAGCCGAAGTCATTGCTAAAGCTACTCTCCCATTGCCCTTTCTTGTTTGGTCTTCAATGTTTGACCCCCTACCAACTTTTATCCTTTTCTCTTTTTATAATTTCCCTTCCTGTATATGTTGTTTGTGTCCTTACATAAGTGGAGCGGGGGGAGATCTGGCCACTGCAAAAGACCTTCTTGTTGCTAACAACACTGTGATGTTGGAGCTCAACCTCATTCCCTAAACTCACATTTAGAAACCAAATAGTATCTCTCTGTAACTCTATAGGTCTCAACAACCTTTGTCTCAACTAGTACCATACCTACCTAGGCTTCTGGGTCGTCTATGTACTTCCTTACCATAGAAAATTGTGTGCTGGGCTTAGGAAGTCTACACAAAGCTGTAATTTTAGAGTTTCTAAATAGAACTAATCTAGTATCTGAAAAAGATACTATGTAAACATTTTAAAGGAACATTCTTTTTTAATTTTTTTCCATTTTGCATACCAATCCCAGTTCCCCCTCCTTCCCCTTCTTCCATTCCCCACCTCTCCCCCCAATCCCATTTCTCCATCCACTCCTCAGAAGAGGTAAGGCCTACCTTGAGGAGTCAGCAAAGTCTGGCATACCAAGCTGAGTATCTCCTGTATCAAGGCTGAGCAAGGTATCCCTCCATAGGGAATGAACTCCAAAAAGCCAGTTGATATACCCGGGATAAATCCTGATCCCATCGCTAGCCCCCCCCCCCAACAGATCAAACCACATAGCTGTCACCCACATTCAGAGGGCCTAGTCCGATCTTAAAGGGATAGTCTTAAATGAAATAAGTACCTCGGGAGCACTTTTTTCCCTGCCATGTCTTTATTTAAGTGTCTCCTTTTGGACTAGGCTGTCTCCAACCAGAGTCTGGGACCTTGTTCTTCAGAGTTCGCACTCCATCTAATTTATTTCCTACAGTTCCATTCCGCAGTGGTTTCTGAAATGTTAATCGTGGCTTGTCGGTGTGTTCTTATCCAGATTATATTCAATGCCCATATTGTATGAGGAGGTTTAATGAGACTGCTGCCCAGCGACACATTAATTTCTGCAAAGATCAGTCTTCCCGACGCGTATTCGATCCAGCCCAAACAGCAGCTAGGCTGGCATCCAGAGCTCAGGTAAATATCTTTCCTCTAGCTGTGGGCTTTGTGTCCTTTAATGCCTGGGACAACTAGATAGGATCTACCAGGGAATTCAACTATCCGTCCTCAGAAGCCCAAGGGTCACTATCGTTTGTCTCCATGGGAGGTGTCTACCTCTGGCTGGACGAACCTTTGGATATTGCAGAAAAAAATTCTAGAATGTTTGAAGCCTTTCAGGATGAAGACTTCAGTATATAAAGAATCTCTATAGAATTATGCTAATACCCTGCTTATTCCATGGTGTCTATCAGTCTGACCCACCCAGAAAAGAACTATGACTCACTACAACTGGTCTGGGTGGGAGAAATGTTGCCAAGAAGATGCCTGGCGGCTTGGGTTCTGATCTATAGAGGAGAAGGGGATGGGTGAGATACACATGTCTAGTTTATGGCCTGAGGCAGTAACCCAAACACAGAGTCTCTGATGGGGGCTGACAAGTCGCAACAACAAAGGCAACAGATTTAGAAGGGTGATGGTTCAAGCCAGCTCAGAGTGGAGGCTGACAGGAGTTGATCAGATAGAAGCTCAGAAATCTGGGAACAGCCAGGCCTGAGAGCCTGGGAGGGGGAACAAGAACATTTCTGGGAAGCCAGGCAGCCGCCTTCCCCACCTTCCTTTCCACCCTTTTCCCACAGCTCTGGCTTCTTCTTGCTTTTTTTTCTTTTGTAGTTGAAACAGGGTTTATCTGTGTAGCCCAAGCTGTCCTGAGACTCACTCTGTAAACCAGGCTGTCCATAATCTCAGAGATTCTTCCTCGTCTGCCTCCCAGGCTGGAATGAAAGATGTGTGCCACCATGCCTGGCAGTGTTGGTTTTTGCTCCATCATCCATTAGCATTGTGTTTTCTGTTCCATCATCTGTTGGTGGCTTCATATGTCATCACAGGCAATGTAGACAGGTCTCAGTAGGGGAAAAGCAGAGGGACATGCAATGGACTTTCAGAACGGTCACTTTTACAGCTATTGTTCAAGATGAACGGAGGGTAGCCAGGGAGGAGACACAGTGGGGGAGTAAGCAGGGCTCCTACAGCGAGGGAACTAATAGGAATAATTAATGAAGCTGAGAAAATTACTGTCATTAAAACGAAACTGGGCATCAGAGTCTGGGCATCTAGATGATAGTGCAGGTTGAAAATCGCTTATCTAAGATGCTATTTCAGATTGGACTCAGAAATATCCAGAAATGTTTCAGATTTTTGTATTTCTTGAAAAATTAGTATGTGCATGTGCAGTTAAGACATATAGCCTGAAGGGGATTTCCACAAAGTCTCCCATATCCCGTGTTTCAACTGCAACCTATCACATGAGGTCATTCGTGAAAATTCTCTCTTGCGACATCATGCTGGTGGTCAAGATGCTTCTGATTTGGGAGCATTTCTGATGACACATCTTTGGGTTAGAGGTGCTCGAAACCTGAAGGAGCACAGGAGAGAAGAGACATGGCACTTATGTGATGGGCAAGTGGTGGATACAGGTTCAGAGGCTTAGTCTGTCCAGCTGAGATAGTGGGGGAGAGAACGCCATGTCAGGAACGGGGACTCTGCGATCAGCGGCGAGGTTTGGACTTCCCGTTGTGTGGTTGATTATTTCTAGGTAAGACTTCGAGATTTAGTTTTGTCTGTAAACAGCATTAATCATACTTAGCTATTGAGTTGTCGGGAGGACGGCACTGGCCCAGAGTCCTTTGCTTGTCTTCTCCCCACCTACCTCATCCTGCTTCCCCTTTCCCAAAGCCCTTTTCTCTTCCTGGGGCTGGAATTTTGAAGGGCCATGGCAGCTTTAGGCTGGAATTCAACCTAAGTGTGGAGAAGTCTATAAGTCCAGCTCTTCATCTACCCTGTCCAGCGGTACCAACAACTGGCATTCCTACAGATGGTTCTGTCCAATCCGTGGAGCTTGCCACTGTTCGTGGTGCCAAGGAGGGCTGAGGGAACGAGTGAACAGACGTGTTTGTTATTTGTGAAGAAGGCCAGCTGGCTCTCCTGAGCATAGCCAGTGACTTGGCACTATTCCTTGTCTTGTTTTCCAGAGCTTAGTAGCGACTGGGAGCACAGAGGGGAAATTGCTGGCTCCCTGAATTCCTTTGCTCACTGTCGAGTCTGTCTGAATGGTAGTGTTTGCTCCCTGAGTGCCAACGCCACCGCTCTGGGACCTTGCCTAATAGTGAGCTTGTTCAGAAATGGAACAAGAAGGGAGGGCTTGTTTCAGTCATGCAGGGCTATGAATGGCACAGCCAAACTGTGTTTCTATTTCAAACATAATCAGCTTTAGAAATCAGCCATACCCTTAACCAGAGGAGATCAACACTGGCCTCCAAAAATCAACCTTTGGGGGATAGAGAGAGGGCTTGATGGGAGCATTTGCTTTGAAAGCAAGAGGACCCGAGTTCAAATCCCCAGGACAAAAGCCTGTCGTGGCCACACATGCTTATAACGCCAGTATCTGGGGGCAGAGCCAGGCAGATCCCAGGCACTTACTGGCCAGTCAGATAAACAAAACAGTGAGCTTCCAGTTCACTGAAAGATCTTGTCTCGAAAAAATAAAGTGGATAACAATAGAAAAAGATATCTAGTGTCCTCCTCTGCCCTCCTCATGCCTGTGTAGACACTAGCACCAACTTGAACATGTACACACACACACACGCTACACACAGAAATGATGGGCCTGGTATACTATGACAATAATTCCTGAGCTGGTGAGGAGTTTACTTAAAGAACAAATTATCTTTTTGCCATATTTTCCTTGGACCTAGAGGGAGATCCACTGCAAGTGGAGAGAGGCTCCCCAGGTCCTTGTTTGGCTTCCATCTGTGCGGTGTGCAGCTGCTCTGTAGACTAGCAAAGACCTGGGGGTATTGGAATTCGATGCTGAAAACATGTGCTGCCTGTCAATCTCTGCTTTCCTTCTTAGTTCTGGTTAGAAAACAAAGCCATCTTCGAGTGTAGAGAAAAACACAATATTCCGTAACTATATCCCGACTGGCATCAAATGATTTCTTCGGTCCTCACACAACAGATTTCATAGGGTGAACAAACCACCGCCAACCCTGAGGCCTTCTTCATGAATGAATGTTCCCAAACCAAACTGTGACTTTTAGCACCAGCAAGTGACCGCAGCCCAGGCTAAGTGAACTGCTGGGTGTGTGTCTCCTTTCTCTGGGTGCCAGAGTCCTGGTGACAATGCTAATCTTCTGCTGGCTGAATGACTACAAGTTTACTTCACTCTTAGTACCCGAGGTTACGGTGTTGCATCTCTTTCTACCTGTAGGGTAAGGCCCAGGCAAGTCCCAGAAAACAGCCTACTGTTACAAGTGCTGTGGGAACACTGCTGCAGAGCAAGGCTGTGGAGACCAAGAATGACGTCGCCGCCAGTTCAAGTAAGTCAGAGCAGGCTCTCAAGTTGTCCAGTCCTGGCGGTAGAGCCTCCATCCTGCCATGGCTCTACCCCCAGGTGGTTAGTAAACGCTAAAACGACATCCGGTGCTGTTGGGGGGGAAAAAAAAACAATCATGTAGGCTTATTTGAGGTTGAAACTTGAAGCAAATACGCCATGCGGGAATGTTTCTTATCAGGGTTGCATCACTGTGACCAAGCATGAAGTGCGGTTTGGTTACTGCAGCAGGAATCCACAGCTATTGCCCTTTAGTCTGCTAGAACCGAGAAGGCTGAGACTGGACACCCACATGTCAGGTGTACAAATGAACAGTTTCTTCACAGTGGCAGCAGGTATAGCCATCATTACCGTGCTGGCCTTGTGTCTCCCAGTGATCCTCTACACAGTGTACTCTGCCGCTGTACTCTGAACGCTGGCTGTGCATCTCCTTCCTCTGGGTATGAGAGTCCCCGTGTGTCGTCGTCGTCCCCCCCCCCCCCCAGCCGGCTCTAGTCTTCCACTAGCCTTCCGCTATGGCTGGTAACCAGCAGGTTGGATTAGCGATCTACTGTACTCTTCATCCCCAGTAAGATACACAATAAACTGGATTATCTTCTCTATGCCCAGTACACATTTTTATAAAGTCAACCTACAAAGAAACCAATTGCCTATAACATTTGCATATCTACTGTCTCTCCCCATCCCTTCCCCTTCTCCCCCATCCCTCCGACTGACCCTTGTGTCCCCTTTCCATTCCCAGGATTCTCCACTTCTGCTTGCACTTCACATTTGTCAACATGCCCGTTCAGACAGTGTGTATCATCTCACAGCCACACTGCCCCTTCTGGACAGTGGTCGCGGTTCAGAGGTATTAGCCAGTCTCTGCTTGAATGACAGCACCAAGAAGCTTTGCGGTTACTTTTAAGTGGTTTAAAAACCTAACCAAGTGTCCAGAGAAATGACTCAGCGGATTTTAGTAAAAACCCTGGGTGTGGCCAGGCACACACATAAGGCACACACTCTTTAGCCCTAGAGCTATGGGAAAAAGTGATTAGAAGATTGGTTGGGTTTTCTGGCTGCCACTCCAACTCTAGATTCAGTGAGAGACCCTGTCTCAAAGGGTAAGGTAGAGAGGGATAGAACAAGGCACTAACATCCTCCCCTGAGTTCCACATGTGTGCACCCACACATGCAAGTATGCACAAACATCATACACAAAATGCCATATACATATACTGCACACACAACACAAACAAAAACCTGAGTCGACATTTTAAAGCTGTCTGCACAGTCTTATGAACCCAAGATTTTAGGATTTTGCTTCTTTGGTTTTGTTTTGGCAACAATACTGTTTGTATTTTTAAATTATTTTTCTCAATTTTTACATACATTTGCCATCTTATAAACTTTAATGTGCAGCTCAATGTTATTAAATGCATCCACCACATTGCAAGAGAGCAAGTGCATCACACTTCTCTATGCTTTGCCTGTAGGTACACAGGTCTTTCCCCCTTTTGTTCGTGGTGATTTGCAGGGCCATTTGACCTCTGGCTCCCTGGCTCTTCTGCACTTGCACAGGCCTGAAGGTTTAGCTTAGAAAGAACTTGGCCCTCTTTTGTTATGGTAATTCCACCTGTAAACAAGGTTCCAGCCATGGGCCCTATACACCTGCCACACCTGCCTCCCACAGCCGCTTATGGCCTTGGGCACCGGGCACCTGTCATCCTCTTCCACTGCTCCTGATGGGAGGGGGCTTTGCCCTTTTGCCCCCTTGGCCACTAATATATATACCCTACTTAAGTTTAATAAAGTTGCCATTTACTCTTTGGTGAATGAGCAGGTCTCTTGCTGTCTTTGTGCTTCAACCCTTAGGATGTTAATCCATTCTTGTGGACTCGGTTCAGGAAAGCGCGCGCCTGAATCGGGTGTGTGTATTCACAGAAAAGTGAACTGGAGCCAACATTTGCCCAGTACTGAGAATGAAGCCTAGGTCTTTGCACACTCTACCCATGAGCTGTATCTTACTCCCTCTTGTTTTTCTTTTTAAATTGCATGTATTTAGAGTGTGTGCAAGTGCACACACACATGCCATGGTGCTCCTTAGAGGTCGGAGGACAACTTGGAAGAGCCAGTTCTCTCCTTTTATCGTGTGTGTCCCAGGGATCGAACCCAGGCTGTCGGGCTTGACAGCACGTATCTTTACTTGCCAAACCATCTTGCCAGCCTTATTTTGACTTTTTATTTTGAGAGACAGACTCAGTGGCCCAGGCTAGGCTTGAACTCATTCTGAAACCCTTATCATCATGGAATTTTGGATCCTCCTGCCTCAGCCTCCCCAGCAGCTGGGTGTACAGATCTTTCATTCTGTAAAACTGAAAGTGTGTACCCACTACACACAGCTTGCGTTATTCTGTCTCTTGGTCGCTCTAGCAGCCACTGTCTCTATGATTGTGTCTGTTCCAGTTGTTCCCACAGCTGGGCAGCACTTCCATATTCTCATCCCTCTAATATTTCACTTAGTATAACGTGCTCAAGGTCCAGCTATGTTACGGCATATGTCAGAATTGCATTCCCTTTTAAGGTTTACCATTTCATTGTACACGTGTCTGTGTATGTATGATTGCTTACCCACTCATCCACCAGTGTGCAGCCGGATGCACCCACAGCTTGACTGCTGTAAGCATGTCCAAGACTCTTCTTTTAGTTTCTTGAGAGAGACCTGACTCTCAACTTCTGGGGTGAATGCTCAGAAGCAGACTTGCTGGGTCTTTTTATAGTTGTTCTGTTTTTAAGTTTCTGAACAGTCCCATGATATTTTCTATGCCAGCCGTACAATTTTACATCTCTACCTACTAACATTATTAAAAGAAGAGGTCCGTTTTCCCATGTCTTCATCAAATCTTGTATGAGTACGTGTGTGTCTGAAAGAGTCCTAATGTATGATTAATATGCAATTGTTATTTTGATGTGTATTTGTTTAATGATTTAGAATGCTAAAACACTTTTCAATTGCTTATTATTCACTCATATGTTATCTTAGGAGAAACGTCTGTTCAAGTCATCCCCATTTCTAACTTGTTCCTGTGGTCGCTTCTTTTGAATCACTGTGATGACCAAATACCAACAGAACAACTTAAGGGAGGAAGGAATTTTGTAGTTGGTTTTTCTGTTGTTGTTTTTCTTAACTCCTTGGGGCACTGCCACCCAGCTCCCAAATAAATACATGGAGACTTAAGTTTATTTGTGAGTGCCTGGCCTTAGCTTGTTTGTTCCTAGCCAGCTTTTCTCACTTTAATTATCTCATTTCTCTTTGACCATATTTTGCCTCTGGACTTTTTGCTTTCTTTATTCAATATATCTTTCTTTCCTCTTTACTATGTGGCTGGCTGTGTGGCTGCATGGCTGGTCCCTGACATCCTCCTCTCCCTCTCCTTTTTTATTTTTATTTTTTGTTCCTCCTCTCTTGAGCCTAGATTTCTCCTCCTATTTATTCTCTTTGCCTGTCGCCCTTCTTATCCCTCTTCTGCCCACCCATTGACCATTCACCTCTTTGTTAGATGAATCAGGTATTTTAGGCAGGCAAAGTAGCGTAGCTTTACAGAGTTAAACAAATGCAACACATCTTTGCATCATTAAACAAATATTCCACAGCATAAATGAATGTATTCTACATCAGGATTTGTTTTGGCTCTTGGCTTCAGAGGAAATAAGACATATATTTGAGGACATGGCATAGAAGATAAGTTCATATCATGGTGGCCAGGAAGCAGAGGAAGGAGTGTATTACATCTATAATTTCCCCCTTTTATGATTTGAACCCCCAACTTGGGTGGATGGTGCTTCCCACCTGAAGGGTAGGTCTTTCACCCTAGTCCAGCCATCTACAAATGCCCTCAAACACATACCCAGAAGTGTGTTTGACTGACCTCTAAGTAACTCTAAATGCGCTCAAGTCATCAATCAACATTAACCATTAGGCTGTGTACCTTTCTGCCGCTGTGACAAAACAGCCTGACCAAAAAAAAAAAAAAAACAGGTGGGAAGGGTTTATTTTGCTTCCCAGTACAAGGCTGTAGTCCACCGTGACAGCAGCAGCAGCAACAGCAGGAATGTGAAGAAGCTCGTCCCATTCCCTCCACAGTCAAGAAGCAGAGAGCAATGATTCCTTACATTCTCCTCACCCTCTTCTTCTTGTATAGCTCAGCTGCCCCAGCATAAGGAATAATGTACTTATAATAGCTGGGCCTTCCCACTTCAACCTACTTACTCAAGATAATGCCCTAGAGCTATACACAAAGGGCCATCTCCCAGGTATTCTAGGTTTCATAAACTGAAAATTGAGATTGGTCAATCACAACTCCTCCTCTTGTCAGCTTGATACCCAAATACAACATCATTTTAAATCATAACCTTTTACTCCTTATCACCAAAGGTCCATGCTCCTCTCATAAATCAGTATACAACCCAATTACAAAAGTCTCCATAGTCTAACAATTACAACAGGTTAAAAATTCCAAAGTCCATTTCACATCTTGAGCTGTGATATCTTGCAAAATTAAAAGGAAGTTGCAAAATTCCAACATACAATGGCACAGAATGAACATCATCATTCCAAAATGGAAGAACTGAGGCATAGTGATGAGTGATTGGACCAAAACTCCAAAATCCAACAGGGCAAATGTCAAATCCTAAAGCTCCATGTCTGGCATCTGAGACTCAAGATGAAATTTGCTGACCCAAAATGCTTACTTAGTTTGTCCCGTCTTTCCAACTCTGCCGCATGCATAACACATAACCTCTCTCTAAAGCCAGACCCACTCCAATCCCACAGCTTTCTACAGCAGACATCCAATGGAACATACAAGAGAATGCTAAATTAAGTTAAATAATGTAAATAAATACTGTTTAAAAAGTTAAATACCTACCCCTGATTTCTATCTTTGTTTTATAAGTCTTAGGTATCTTTGATTAATTGCAGAGTAGTTTATTATTCTTATGATGTTATAAATAGAACTGATTTCATAAACCCCAATTTAAGTTGTTCATTACTTTTATGTAAAAATGGAGTTGATGTATGTTTAGTTTGTATGCTGCTATCTTCCTGAATTCACTTATTCTCAATTCTTCTAGACAGTGGTTTATCAATTGCTTGCCCTTTCTAATGAAGTCATTCATGGTTTTACTGTTTTTCTTTCATTTTTTTTTCTAATCCCAACTCCATTTACATCTACTGGACCACTATCAATTATAATTTTTGTTCCCTTCAGATTGATTCTTTTCCTTGCCATGCCATGAGTTTCCAAATTGGGTTGTTGATTAATTTCCTTTTATTTTAGGGGTTTAAAGAAAAGATCTTGCCATGTAAACCTGACTAGAACTTTCAATATGGACCAAATCGTTCTCGAACTTGAAATGGTTCTTCTGCCTCTGCTTCTATACTGTTGGATTACAGCTGTGAGGCTGGACACCTGGCTTCTTCCTCATTTTTTTAAAAACATAAACCTACCTTTATAGCTATAAATTTTGCATTACGCTGCCTTTGCTGCATTTTATAGGTCTTGGTATTTGTGTTTTCAG